TTTTTTTTGTTGGTTTGGTTTGGTTTTTTTGCTAGCTGCTAGGTTGGTTTTTGGTTGGTTGGTTTTTAATTGTGTTTGTTCGTGGTTTTTAAATTTATTTCTTATTTCTGTTCACCAAACCCTAACAAAACCAAGGCAAAAAGTTGTTGGCTGTGGAAAATGGAGCAGGGAGGTGCTCGACAAAGGAGGCGGCGGCGGCGCATAATCCGCGCTCCCATGATGCCAAATCGCAGGGTGCATAATAACTTTTGGAGATTTACATAGATTAAACCCATTCCCTAGAAATCCTCCCGGAAAAAAAAAAAAACCGCTTTTCAATAATATTTCGCCTCGTATCTGCTCTAATTTGTAAATGATGGAAGGCGCGTTTGTTTCCACGGGAGGCTGAGGGCGAACGTGGCTCTTGGGCAGATTTTCCTTGGCTGGAGAAAATGACAGGGCGGGAGGAATTCCCGTTTATATTCGTCTCTTATAGTAAGACCTCAAAAAATACAATTTTTATATTTTTAATTTTTTTTTTCTGGCGCGGGGAAAGGATTTCTTGGCTGCTGGGATGAGCTACAGAGCCCTGGGTTAAAACGGGGATCTTTTAAGAGCGGCTCTCCCCTTTTCCCTCCCTCCTTTCCCAAAGCCAGCAGAACTTCAGCCTGGGAATTTATTTTAACGATTCCATTTCCAATATTAAAAGTACGTTCTCATCTAACGGGGCAGCCTCTTCGGTGCAGGCAAATTAGATTATTATGATAATGAGATAATTATTCCGCTTCTGTGCTACACTCCAGTGAACAGAGAAATTCGAAACTTCTTGGTAGCGAAGCTTTTTAGGACTGTAATTCTCCTCCACCCCCCCCCACGAAAAAGCAGATAAAAAGTCATAAACCGTTGTCGTTGAGTTTTCCTGTAAGATAAAGGCAATTAATTTATTTATTAATGAGCACCCGCTTCTCAGGCCATTAGCAGTGGATCTCGAGAGCGATTTCAGCCTGTTGGGAGCCTGGTGCTGAAAGAGGAAGCCGGGGCTCGGGAAATCATTTCCCCGGGGCGTGCCGGCCGCGCTTGGCCGTTTTGGGGGGTTTGGGGCTCTTTCTTTCCCTTTTGCCTTTCGGAGCTGGGCGGCGGGGGCAGCCCGGGCGGGGGGAGCGCAGCGCACCCGCCGCTCTTTGTCTGCGGGCTTCGGGCTGGGCTTTTGCTGCTCATTACCGCTCTCATTGTCCTTCGGGCGGGCTCCTCGGGGTGTGCGTGACCCCGCGTCCCGCCGGCCTCCCCGCAGGTTTGGTTCCAGAACCGCCGGGCCAAGTGCCGCAAGCAGGAGAACCAGCTGCACAAAGGTAGCGGGGCCGGGGGCGCGGCGGGGCGGGCGCGGGGCGCGGCGGCGGCTCCGGGCGCTGAGCGCTCCGCTCCCCGCGCAGGGGTTCTGATCGGCGCCGCCACGCAGTTCGAGGCCTGCCGGGTGGCTCCCTACGTCAACGTGGGCGCTCTGAGGATGCCCTTCCAGCAGGTAAGCGCGCTCGGGAGGGCGGCGAGGTCTCCCGGGGTGGGTGGGTGGGTGGGTGACGCGGGTCACCCTCCGCTTGTCGCCCGCAGGTGCAGGCGCAGCTGCAGCTGGACAGCGCCGTGGCCCACGCTCACCATCACCTGCACCCGCACCTGGCCCACGCCCCCTACATGATGTTCCCCGCGCCCCCCTTCGGGCTCCCGCTGGCCACCCTGGCCGAGTCCGCCTCCGCCGCCTCCGTGGTGGCCGCCGCCGCCGCCGCCAAGACCACCAGCAAGAATTCCAGCATCGCCGACCTCCGCCTGAAGGCCAAGAAACACGCCGCCGCCCTGGGGCTGTGACCGCGCTGCTGCTGCTGCTTTATTTTTCTTTCTTTTTTCTTTTTTTTTTTT